CTGAAGCTCAGCCCTTGCTCTCACAAAAGATAACAAATACTTAAAAAGTATTTTTAAGAAACTTATGATTCATTTATGCACTCATTTGATTTCACCAAAGATTTTACCTTTATGGAGCTGCAGCTGCATGAAAACAATATTATGGAAATTCAGACACTCAGTTCTTAATAAATCTTAGCCTGGTTTCCCATTAGAACCTTGATGCTTGGAGGTTGTGGAGACAGAAGGCCTGAACCTTAGACTCAGGCTATGGAATGTTAACCAAGCAGAAGCCATTCCCCTCTCCTGTAAAATGGGGGTAATACCATTTTCTCTGCCCAGCTCACAAAGCTGGTGCAGCAAAGCCCTTTGCATACTTTAAGAAGGACCATACGTGTCTGAGTGACTATTATGAGAAGCAAGTACAACCCAAATTTCTCTCCTTCACCCCTGTATCTAGGCAGCACTGAACCAGTCTGGGGACTGCATGGACTTCCATCCTGTTCTTACACGTATTCAAGGAGAAAGTATTCTCTCTTGCCACCCCCTTCCCAGATGTTCTCCAATAAGCCATAGAGGTAGGCACCCCCCACACACACACAGACAGACACCACACCTGGAACTCCCTGAAGCCAATTCTATTACTGGTAAAGACTCTGGGGACCCAGAGGAGAGGACTTTAGAGGAGTCACTTGGTCCAGGGAGATCCTCCCCCAGATCTCCAACACCAGCTGATACCCTCTAAGTGCCTTGTCAGAAAATCTAATTCTCTTTCCAAGCATTCGGCAAAGAGGAACGCTCTCCAAGTATGAAATTATCATGACTCAGCATTTGCCAATTTCCTAAATTACTGTTCAGGAGAGAAGATGTATGTTTTACTTTGAAAGGGCTTACATAGGATCATTTTTTGTTATCAACTAACCAAGTCTACCAAAAACAATGGTCCAACACCAAAAGACTGGTTATCTATCAAAGCTGTATAGAAGAGAAAGACTGAGAGATTGGCATTGCCACTGCTCCATTCAAAGGAGAAACTGAGAGCTCCGGCCAAATGAGGGCATCAAATACGTGAGGAAAGGCCTCAAGTTCAACACATTAACAGTATTTTACTAGCAGCAAATAAGTTCGGAAACACCTAAGACCACGAGCTCCTCCAGGGCAGAGACTGTCTTCTGCCTTACTTTGTACCCCTCCACTTAATGCATCATGCCTGACACACAGAAGGCACTTACTAAATGCTTGTTGACTTGGCACCAAAAAAATTTCAGCAGAATCCATTCCTCCCTAGACACAGGTCGGCCAAATCTAGCCCACCACCTGTTCTCACAGTAGGCTGCGAAGAATGGTTTTACATGCATAAATACAATAAAACTTTATTCAAACATGCAAAAACCATTCTTAGCTCACGGCTATACAAAAACAGGCTGCAGTATGTGGGCCATAGGAAATACCCAAGAAAACCAGAATCATTCACCACCTGCCCAGCTTAAGTAGCTGCTCAAACTGTATGTGAAAGAGAGAGATAGAGGGGTGGGGAAAGGAGGAGAGGGGAGGGGGAGGTAAAGGAAAAAGGAGAGAGGGGGGAAAGAGAGAAAACAGAAAGACAGAGAGAGAGAGAGAGAGAGAGAGAGAGAGAGAGAGAGAGAGAGAGAGAGAGTGAGCACCCACATGCATTTATTATTCACCCACATGTGCCAATCACCATGCTAAGTGACAGGGATACAGATTCAGGTAAACAAGACAGTCCCTTCCCTCCAGGACCTTACACAGTAGTGAGGGAAGACAAAAGACAAAGAAGAATGGAAAGGGGGCAGGGAAGAGTTCATCCAGAGTGGGGGAGGGAAGGCCTGATTCATAGTAGGCACTTAATAAAACTTGACTTGATGGGATAGTCGGAAGCATGTAGGAGACCCGGAACCAAGCTGGCCTGGGAGGCCCGAAGGAGCTCCAGGAGCAGAGCCCATTCTAAGGGAGGGAGGGAGATGCCGGTCTCAGTGGAATGCAGTTAATGCAAAACCTCATAAAAATGAGAACAAGGTTGACAGAGAAAAAGCAGAGGCCTATGAAACAGCTTCCCATAAAATCAAAATGCAATTAATTAAACAGAACGAATGTGTTTTCCTTCCAAAAGGGGCCTGGTCTTCAAAGATTCAAATCCACTCAGTGTACCGGAATCAGGCAAGGCCAAAAAGCAGGTTCCAATCACTCAGCAAGGCCACTCATGCCACCCTCCCCCCCCCATGGCTTATGAGCGCCACCAAAAGTCTCCTTGGGAAATTTATAAGGATTGGAGTCTTGAGGGCTCACACTATTGGGGCCTGAGTCAGGCTCCATCTATCAACGCTTTTCTTTTGGGGAGACGGGAAGAGAAGAACCAGGCGTGGAGGGGAGACCACAGATTAGATGGGAAAATAACAGAGAACATTTCTAAAACCCAAATCACATTTCAGCTCCTGACCTGAGGCTAGAAAAGTGCTTTTTAAGAGTGTTCCATTTTGTTTCCTCTTTCTAGTGCTTTCTCCTATTGGTTCTAATTCTTCCTTACAACGTCAGTAATGGGAAAATATGTTTAGTAGGAATATATATATGTATAGCATATATTAGATTGCATGGCATCTTGGGGAGGGAGGCGAAGAAAAATGTAAAACTCTAAAGCTTATGGAAATGATTGTTGATAAATCAAAATAAATTAATAAAAAAATTTTTTTAAAAAAAAAGAATGCTCCACCCCTCTCCAAGTCCATCTGGGTTAACCTAAACAATGGACCCCTCATTTTCACAATCCTCTGGTAAAATGGGCTAATATGTCATGACAAAAGATCACTTCAATAAAACACTTTATATTTGTCTAGCACGTCAACCTTTCTGAAATGTTTTCACACAAGCATCTCACTCACTGACAATTTGGGGGTCCTTAAATCATCAGATTCCAAAGGCACCCAGACAGAACATGGGGCATGGCCACTGCAGCCCTCCCCAGAGCGAGGCTCTTCCAAAGGAAGCCATGCAGGGGGTGGGTTTCAAAGATGCAGACCAGGGGCAGGGGAAACACACTGAAAGGACTCCCAGAAGCTGACAGGGAATGGGGTAACTGACCCCTAAGGAAGGCCCAAGCACCAGCATGAACTCTGCATGCAGAGCCCCACCAAATGGGGTACTCAAGGTCAGAGATGGCATAGTAGAGTCAATCAAATTAAAACTGGCCCAGTAACCCTGGCCCTGAGAAACGCCTGACTGCGATGTGCAGAGCTGTTAATGCCGTAGACCAGGGGTGAGGAGCCAGAGGCCCTCTAGGTCCTCAAGTGCAGCCCTCCGACCGAATCCAAACTTCACAGAGCAAATCCCCTTCATAAAAGAATTTGTCCTGTAAAACTTGGACTCAATCAAAAGGCCGCACCCAAGGACCTAGAGGGCCACAGGTTCCTCAAGCCTTCCTAGGCCAAAGCTCCCTGCCGAACCCTTCTACTCTCCCTCACACCCAATCACATCTGCTCCGTCCCTTTCATGTACTATCCCATCCCACACTGCCCCATCCTTCCAGTGAGTACTCCAGCACCTCCATTCAAATACTAACAAACTCTCCCACGTATCAGACCTGCCCAGTCCTCAAAAAAAATCACTCTGTGTGTATTTTGTATCTAATTTTCTATGTACTTACTTATTACTTCCCAATGGTAGAATGGAACCCCTTGAAGGGAGGGCCTATAGTCCCTGGCACAGGGGTAACACATAGTAAGTGCTTAATCTATGCCCATTTTCTTGCTGTCTGAATTCAGACAGGTGACTCAGACATATTTCGATAAAAACAGGAATGACCAATCACAGTGTGAAGACTGGCTTTGTGCAGGTGACCAATGCCAGCCAATGTATCACTGCTATGATAACTGGAGGGCCCTAACGGTTTTTCAGGACGTCAGATTTTATTTGCAAGATTAGTAAGACAAGGGACGGCTAGGTGGCGCAGTGGATAGAGCACTGGCCCTGGAGTCAGGAGGACCTGAATTCAAATGTGACCTCAGACACTTGACATTAGCTGTGTGACCCTGGACAAGTCACTTAACCCCGACCACTTCGCCAAAAAAAAAAAAAGACTGGTAAGACACAAAGCCCTTTACACTCTCCACTGCAGTACCAAATCAGCTTGATGATTTTTACAAAAGAGGTCAGCTCTGAGCTAAACATTATCTGGAAACAAACCCCACACTGTCCTGCTGGCGCTGTCCTGTCTCACAGGCCCCACGTTCAAGCAGCCACACTTGGCTCAACCCAAGGAATAATCGGAAGCAAAGACCTTGTTCGGCTCCTCTGACCAGCCTGGGATCTCATTGCGCACTCAGCTTTATCAGACTCCCTGATCCAATTCTACCTACACGGGTCTTCTTCTCCAGTCTCCTCTACGCCCCAATAAAAAACAAGATGGGGGGGCAGCTAGGCGGCACAGTGGATAGAGCACCGGCCCTGGAGTCAGGAGGACCTGAGTTCAAATCCAGCCTCAGACATATAACACTTACTAGCTGTGTGACCCTGGGCAAGTCACTTAACCCCACTGCCTAGCCAACGACAAAAAAAGACAAGATGAATAAAGTGTGGAATTCAAATTCTGTTGTTAAATGAATTGCTGCAGCAGCCCCCTGACTCACTCCACCCATCCCCAAAATCGCATCCGCTCATAAAGGCCTGTCAGCTCAGGATGTTCAACAGGTCTGTGCCCTGGGAAAAACCTGACCCAAAAAAGAGGTCCCCGGGTAACTGGGGAGCTGTGGAAGAAAACCTAATCAAAGGCAAGAAGCCCCTGAGGCCCAGAGGCAAGAAGCTGTTTCACTTTAATGATTCATCTTTTTTAAAGTCAGGAAGTGAAAGCCACACTAATGAAAGAAAATGGCCAAGAGTCCTGGGGGGTGGGGGTCGGGATTCTTACTTTCCCGCCCAAACATTTAACAAAGGAAAGACAATTCAGACCCAGGCGCTCACTCCCTCCGCAGACAGACTAGAGGGAGGTCCGACTGCTGGGAGGCCAATACCTTTAAACTGCTTGATCATGTTCTGGTGATTTTCAACGGCCTCTTGTAAGATCATGTCAGGCTGATCCATCTTCCATCTCCACTCTGTACCCACGGGATTGGTGTGGTGCCTGCAGAGAGAGGACGCAGAACTCTTAAAGGTTCCCTCTACATTTAGCAAGACGATGGTCAGTCCTCCAAATATGGCAAATTCCCCCAAATCACAAGGGTCTCTCCCAAAGACTTGTAACTGGTGAGCTCGGCTGGCTACAACCAATGTTTAATAAAATAGTATTTACCAAGTTCTCGGAGTCCATCACAAACCTGTGGACCTGCCAGGAGGCAGCAGGGGGAAGATTCCCAGCACTAGGGTCCCGCAAGCCAAGCAGCCCGATGCCCAAAATGAACTTCCGGCCTCAGACGCTTTCTAGTCTTTCCCTGCCTAACCTTTCTCTGGCTCAGTTTCCTCGCCTGTAAAATGGGGCTCAGAACAACACCTCCCATATTGGCCTGCTGTGAGGATCGAGCGAAATAACACGTGGAAAAGCACTTTATAGACCCTGAAGCGCCACAGAAATTCTAGCCTCCTAATGGTCATTAAGCGAGTCACCTGCCCAGCACGCTGTCTCCACCCACACCACACACCCCCATCCCTCTTTGCATCACCAGGGTTAGCACCATCTCCATGCCCCACTTTCAAGTCCAAACCTGGTGCTGTCCAGTAAAAAAGCCCAGGATATCGTACCCGGGAAAGGGAGGCTCACGACATTTATGAGCGGATGGCGTGGCCAAAGGCTACTTCTCTATCTGCTCTTGAGAACAGGAGGTGGCGGCTGCCAGAATTAAGGGGTCAGTGCAAATTCAGCCCAAATACCAGGAAAACAATCCAAAGAAAGCATCCGCTTGATGAGTCACCACTCGTCAGCAAGAGCCGGTATACACTCGGTCCAACATATGGCTCGCCTCTCAAAGTCAGTCAAATCACTGATTTTTAGATCAGAAGGAACCTTAGTCATCTGGGCCCGGCTCCTCTGCCTCATTATTGAGCAGAAGGAGGCTATGGCCCACTGGCGAGTTCCTCCTGAGCCTCCATTCCCCTCCAAGCCCACTGCTCCTGGCTTGCAGACCTCCAAACCTGACCAGCTCATCCTGGAACTTTCCATAGTGCCTGGAGCTTCCTTGCCCAGGTCGGTACAGCTAACCACCATGTAAACTCCTCAATCTGGAAGCCCCTCGGCAATGCCGGCCCCATCTCCCACCGGCGAGTTCCTTCTGTGGCCTCCATTTTGTGGAGGGACCCACGGAGGCTTCTATTCCCCTCCCCTCTGAGCCCTACTCCTAGCTTCAAAACTTTCAAACCATTCCCCACTGTTCAGCTCCCTTCTGTGTACTGTCCTCCCCCAACAGAACGGAGGCTCTCAGAAGGGAAGGTCTGCCGTTCTTCCTGCTCACACGTGCATTAGCACGGTGCCTGGCACACAGAAAGTGCTTGATAAATGCTCATTTCCTTCTTTCCCAGAGACATTAATGTTACTACAAAGGTAGCAAGTAGGAGAGCTCGGATCTGAACCCAGGGCCCTAAAGCAGGGGTGGGGAACCCGCGGCCTCGAGGCCATGTGTGGCCCTCTAGAACCTTAAAAGCAGCCTTTTGAATGAATCCAAAATTTAACCTGTAAAATTTAGACTCAGTCAAAAGGCCACACTTAAGGATCCAGAAGGTTCCCCACCCTGCCCTAGACCATGCTGCCCCTCAAGGTTATCTGGACTCACAAGCTTCCTGGATTACCTTCTTATCACTACTACTGTTGTTATATCATTCTTCTGCTTCTGCTTCTTCTTCTTCCTGCTGTTATTAGTTTCACCAAAGAGCTATAGGTTAGAAAATCAAATCAACAGCCCTAGTGATGGAGTTAATACGACCACATTAAACCACTTGCCATTTACAGCAAAGACATTCAAACTTGGGCAAGGCCAGAAATTGGATGTCATTATCCCACTAGCTCATATTAGCCTTTTCATCTAATCTTGACATTTTCTGGAGTTAATTAAAGATATCTATCAGCCACCTGGTTCCCAAAGACACTTTACAGGAACAGACTGCCACAAGGCTATGCAAAGGGGTAGAGGCACCAAGGCCTATGAATGAGCTCCTGCTTTTCAGGACCAGTCTTCTTAAAGAGGGAGACAAAGGAGAGGGAAAAAAAACAGCCCGAACCAATCTTTTCTGCTATGACCTTTTAGGTTAGAACATAAAAAATGTGAGCAGAAGGAAAGCAGTACCTCACACATCAATGGCTCAAGGGGAAAAATGTCTAATTAAAAAAGGGACAGATGAATATAAAACATAAAAAGTTTTAATTACATATCAAAATTGCCTGGTACAAAATACAAACCAAAAAATCAATGCAGGTGGAAAAAGAAAAGGAACAGCTAATTGGGCAAAAAAATATATATATATATCCACAGCAAATATCTGCTGAAGGTCCAATAGTCAAGACATGGGAAACTGATACCAATATGTAAAAACAAGAGCCATTCCCCACCAGAGATGAGGTCAAAGGACTGAAGAAAATATTTTCAAAAGAAAATGGCAAATAATCAATAACCATATGAAAGAATATTCCAAATCACCTATAATAAGAACAATATAAATCTTTTAATTACCTCCTACACAGCAGACTAGAAAAAACTGAATAAGGCAAATAGGTGTGTTGGGGACAGGGGGAAAGCACACTAATCCACTAGTGATGGCATTATAAATGGTTTAGCCATTCTGGAAAACAATCTAAAATTTTACCCAAAAGGTACTAGACTGTACATACCCTTGGTCTCAGAGGTATTACTTGGAGGCATATACTGCCAGGAGGTGAAAAACAGAGGGAAAAGACCCAAGTACACAAAAATATTGATAGCAGAACTTCTGTAGTAGCAAAGAACTGAAAGGAAAATTGAAGAGGAGGAGAAAGAAAAGGAATAAAAGGAGGAAAAGGAAAGAAGGAAGGAAGGAGAGAAAAAGGAAGAGAAGGAGAAGCTAGACTGAGAAGCAGGCAGGATAGCTGCATTTTGCTCCAAAGCCTATGGAATCCCAAATGACAGGAAGTAGGGGCTTCCACCCTGGCCCTCAGCTGCCACCTTCCCAAGAGCACCAAGTGAGGGTCTGAAAGGAAGACCACTCACGAACCCCCTGCAATGAAGTTCAAGTAAACAGAAGAGACACAACCTGGGCATCGTGGATTGCTAGCACTGCCATAGTCCCTGGCTTCAAGGCCACAGACTCGGCTCATCCTTTTTCTTGGGGTTATTAGAAAAACTAGCATCATCATCATCAAGAAAGTATAACTACAAAGTATCAGAATCTGCCTTAAGGAGGAGGAATGAAAAAGATCAAATGAATTTTTTCTGGCCAATAATCCACACCCTCTACCTGCTGATCTAGGAACCATAGCCACTCTGTAAAGCTGGATGCCCAAAGAAAATTAAAGTTCACGGAGAGCCTCCAATCCCTTTTCTGCCTATTCAGACAGTTCACGCATCAATGAGCCCCGGATCCGTGGGTCACGATGGCCAGAGATGTCATTACCGAGCGGGCGACCAGCCCAGGATGACGCTTCCCCAGCAGCGTTTCACTCACCCTCTCGGACGCTGTGACTGGGTCTCAGAAGGACCCCACGACACCCTGGCTTTCTTCTACCATCAGGCCTAGCTGAAACAACCCCCGATGGTGCTCCTCCTTTACCATTTGAGAACAAGTCTTGCACCTGTTCTACACAACAGCCCTTCAAATACCTGAAGAAAGCTCAAATGTTCCCCCTTCAGTCTTCTCCGGGACACACATTCCCATTTTCTCCACAGAGCCTTCTCCTAAGTCACAGACTCTGGGTCCTTCACTATTCTGGACTTTCTACATCTTATCAATTTTCCTTCTAAACTGGGGCATCCAACATTGAGCAGAATCCTCCAAATGTGATCTGCCCGGGACAAAATGGAGAGAGACTGTCACTGCCTTGTCCCTGGAAAAATGTGTCTTCTAAAGCGGACAATGATTACATTCGCTTTTCTGGATGCCCTCATTCTCTGCTGACTCTCACTGGTCTTGCAATCCTTTAACCACAGGATCTTTTGCAATCAAACAGCAGCCTAACTGTGTAATCTTCCCCATCTTGCACTGGTAAATTTGATTCTAGCCTGGCACAATGTAAAGAGCACTGTCTCCAGAATCAAAGGACATGGGTTCAAATCCTGCATCTCACCTCAAGCAAGTCACTTGTCCCCCCCTGGGCCTTAGTTTCCTCATCTGTAAAATGTAGGGTTGGGCAAGACAGCCTTTGAGGTCCCTAAGTCTTACGTCTTCTTATCATTCACTGCTGACTTATTCGACTCAACCCAATGCCCTTCAGGGATGGGGAACCTGTAGCCTCGAGGCCACACGGGGCCCTCCAGGTCCCCGAGTGCGGCCCTCTGACTGAATCCAAACTTCACAGAACAAAAGGGGGGGCCACATCCAAGTCACAGACAAAATGGTCCCCAAGATAAGGCCTGAGAAAGCGCAGGAGGATGCTGTCCTGAAGAACTCCTTCCCAGCTGACATCGATCCATCCATGGTGACCGTCTGAGTGTGGACTTGGAACCAGTTCTGAATCCTTCTGACTGTACGATGCTTAGTCCATATTTCCCCATCCTTCAATCAACAACCAGCAAGCGTGGAACACTAGGGGATTCAACGTAAAAGAGAAAACGGCCCCTGCCCTCAAAGAGCTTACATTCTATGGGCGAGACAACCTGTACATACACAGGCACACACAACCTCTCTACAGAGGGAATGGAAAATAATACAGGAGGCAAGACACTAGCAGCTGGTGGATCCAGGGAAGGCCTTCTGCAGAGGGGACATTTGAGCTAAGTCTCAAAGGAATCCAGGGATCCTACATGAATTAGGGAGAGCACTGCAGACATAGGGGACAGTCAGTACAAAGGTATGAGACAGGAGAGAAGAGCCCTGGGGGGAGGAAGAGTAAGTGGGCCAGTATGGCTGGACCACATAATATGTGAAAAGGAATTATGGGTAAGACTAAATAGATAGGAAGGAGCCATCTGGTGAAGAGTCTTTAAAAGTCAATCAGATTTTAGTTGT